CTCCGCCGCAGAGGCTGCAGATGTGGAGGCGGTCGGCTGAATGACTCGAGCCGTCGCACTGGTGTTCATTGACGTTGTAGCCGATGCAGATGAGCTTCCTGCTGCGGGCCGTCTTGAGATCACGTCCCTCGTAGGCGGAAAAGCATAGCTTTCGGTCCCGAAAGTTGGTCTGCGTCGGTGGGTGGTCCTTGATTGTGTGTGGTCCCACCGCATACAAGGCATGGGTGAGGGCGCCGTTCACGGGACAAATCTTTGTTGCCCTTCCAAAAGTCATTCCGAGAATTCCAGCCATTGTCTGAATCACGGTAGCGGGCGTGATTAGAGTCACGGTCGAAGTCGCGTCGGTTTTCGCGCCTGTTGTCGCAGTCGTCCTCGCACGGTACGTGGCGGTTTCTGTCTGGAAGGAGGTGCTGCGGGACCCAAATCAGACATTTTGAGCGAGGGGATTATATGGGTACCGCCCGCCAGGGCCTTGGCTGCTTTCCATGCCCTGACAACGCCGCTGACTTCAGATATCCAGTGTGCGGTGTCGAATGCCGTGTTGTTGAGTATCGCGTTGCGCAACTCTCTCTCGACCAGGTACCAGATAGCAAAGTTCTTCTCGAAGTCCTTCAGCGCTCGGAAAAAATCGAAGTGCTTCTTCATCTCGAGGGCGTACGAGAACGGGTTCTCATCGGTCGGCGGGGCACTGAGCTCCTTCAGGTCGAGGAAATTACCGAACGATTCCACCCATCCCAGAACCGAGACGCCTTCGCAAGTCTCGTCGGATCCCCAGACTTTCTTCATCGCTGCGCAATCCAGCAAACTCTTGTCATTGCCTGAGGCAATGGAAGTATTCTTCTTGGTCGGGAGTTTGCCGGGGTGCCCCGTCGCGAATTGCAGGTGTTGGTCTGAAAACAAAAAAATGGAAGGGTGCATCCTGTATTTTAAGGCGGCTAGGAAGAGGGCGGGGATGGAGACTGGGGGGCGAGTTAGTGCATTGACGTGAGCGACCTTGGACATGATCATGGTGCCGCAAGCTTTGAGGGCTTATCTTTCAACTGCTTTTCCGCCTCCTTCTTCGCCTCCTCCGCCTTCGCCTTGGTCCTTCGCGCGTCAAGGATGAACGAATAAAGTGTCGGCGGGATAGGCGCTAAGACATGCATACAGAGCTCGGGATCGTCCACCATTCTTTGCATTTTGTCTTGTTTGTAGCCGTAGTAGGCTCAAAGCTTTGTGCCGATGTCCTTCGCAGTCGTACTGAAGCCCTGTTTCAGGCTCGTCTCGTATGCTCTGGTGGTGCTAATGCTGGCACGATTGTGCATCTCCGTGCCGTGATTGTATTGGTTTCTTTCTTGGAGTGACATGTTGTCTGGAATCTCCATGTCTCGGGGTGTTTTCTCCACGCTGTGAAATCAAAACTATCGTCGAGGGGTAGATCCAGGCTGCAGATGGATTTGAGTGGTGCCATGGACTCGAAAAGAGGTGTTTGAGGGAGAGGATTGAGCAAGAATGCGTGAGGTGAAAGAGGACGTGAATGGAGCGCGTCAAGATGAGATGATCACGTGTATGCATACATGCTATCTAATCTCGCTCCTCGCTGCCCTTGTCTTCCACTCAGGGAAACTTGTGCCTTGTCTCTCCTGAGCTCGCACCTAGTTTATAGGCCAAGAGTGTTCACAGAGCTTTCCCTAAAAAGGTACTTTCTGAGCAGCACCAGCAGTCACGTTTCCAAAGTTTTCCCTAGATGGTACTTTCTGAAACCCGCTCCGCAAATAACAACAATAATGTTTCTTTCAACAGAGTCCCAGTTCAAACAGATTCACAGAGTTCCTAACAGTTTCCAGGCAGAGCCCAAGTGCGTTTCCAGAATAATATATGATTCAGAAACAATTAAGATTTCAACTAATAGTGCTACTCTATAAGAGTGCGTTCGCCGAGGATCCCAGATCAACCCAATGTGCAAGTGTATAGCCCTAAGCCTACTAGTTCGGGGGAAGATGCTGTGTCCATCGTAGAAACACCCTCGGATACTTATACAACCGCCAAGACACTGTTACAAAGCCCAAAACACAATCCCAATGAGTCAAATGTCTGTTTATCCGCCTCTTTAACTGTGTTTCCGTCAGCTGCTCTTCCGAGCGTCACCTCCCATTGGTTCCCCGCTGCGAGCACACCATGTTCCCTTGCCAATTACGAGGTAGGAACCCATCAGCAGCACCCCTGTATTATTCAGAGGGTGTGTCGATCACCGATAGATCGGCACTGCACTCGTTCGACCTGTTCTCTGCTTCAACTCAACTCTCCCCTTGGTTCCAAGCACGGAACTTGATAATACTCCTTTGTAGGTTTTGGTAGATACCCATTTCTATAGGGTTTCCCAGAAAGGGTTCTTGAGAACCTTGGGACACCTTTAGAGTTGTGATCCAGATCCTCAGAATAGCCGACCACCTGTTTCGGTGTATCCACATTCAATGGAAACCGGCACCTCCAGCAACCGGAACACTTGTGACCAAGCACATCTCCCTTAGTGTCTCAACACAACACAATACATTGCCCAACTCCTGTTCCCTTGACCCGTTTCCGTTGCTTAAGTGGATGTTGGAAACAAGTCAAAAGAACTTCCTTGACTTATTAATTGGCTACACGTTCCCTGACGGTTTTCAGGGTGAGACTAGCCAATGGATGTTCTAATTCCCAGCTACCAGGAACCAGTACTGTTGCATAGAAACAACAGTTTCAGCAATGAGTACGATCAGAAACACGCAAAATTACGTGTATCTAACCATGGCCCAATTACTGGCTTATCACCGACCCAGAGGCCGTTGCTGACACTCTGGCAATGCACTGGGCTCTGGTGACGCAAGAGCACGCGTACAGCCATCCCGATCATGTATTTAAACAGTTGACATGCAACATATAGGGGATCTCTCCTTTGCCTTCCCCCTTCATCTTGTCTTCCTGAGTCCGAGCAAATCAAGCCTTATCCTCAAATATGAGTGACCTAGAGACAGGTCAAAGAGTTCCTGTTTTCTTATACCAAAGCTGAGTATCCTTTTGTGTCTTATAGTATATATATTGCTCTAACTCTGCAGCCTAGGGTATATACACGACCTTTGCACTCAGGTCTACCCCCTGGACCAACCCATCTTCTACAGCGGCAGGTGCAGCATCTGGTCGGGCAGCGCATCATGCGAACTTCCTTGGTTTCCCAGTTGATCTCTGGATTGTGTTTCTGGAGCCAGGAGTAACCAAGGATGATGTGCTGCTTACTGAGCCGGATCATGGTGAGCTGGATATGCTTGGCATGTCCCTCGCAGTTGACCACCATATTGACTATGCCGGAGATGCTGCCCACTTGGTTTGGGGTGCCATCCATATTGAGAACTGGGATGGGCTACGAGAGCCACTGGACCCGAAGGTTACAGGAGATGGCATACTCAGAGTTGATAAAGTCTCTGGTCACTCCACAGTCAACCAGAGCCTTCACCAACATCTGTGCAGTGGTCCCGACAGATTGCAAGTCCAACAGAATGTGCAAGGAGTTCCAGCCCTCAATGGAATCAATGATGTACTACCAGGGGAGTTGCTGTTCCCACTTTGGGTGATGAACACACTGGAGCGAGCCTGTCCTTGTTCCCGGCTCGGGGACAAGGGTGTCCATCACTGTCCTTGTTCCCAGCTCGGGGACAGTATGGAATTCTGTCTCCAGGACGGAAGCAGGAGTCTCTGTCACTCAGATGGAAACTGGGACAGGGGGTGCACCTTTCATTACTACCTCTGAATCGGATATATTGACATTATTGGAATACAGGAGGGCATAACAATTAGAGGAGGCAACTGAGGGTGCACCACTCACTCAGCCAGGAATGGAAAATCTACCAGGTCTGTTTCTCTGTCATTCAACTCCGCCAGAGCGAGGCGGTGGTGGAAAGACGGGCGAAGAGCTCGTCACTGAGTTTCCAGATGATCTCGTCAAGAATGTCTGTGTGCCAGGCGTCGGGCGTGACAGGGCACTCTCACGTGAGGTGAGGACCAAGAGTCCAGTCCTGAGGAACAGCCATATCCTGCTGATGATGGTATGGAACGAGTTTGAGTGGCGAAGAGGGTGATCCAGATGGTGGGGAGTGTTGGTCTCACTCAGAAGCTGCTTCCGGTAATGTAGAATCCCGTTTAGAAAGATCTGTCACGTACATCCAAGCTTGTTCTGTCATTGTGTAGATGGCCCACAGGGGCCATGAGGCCATGAGGCGACGAGTGATGCATAGCACGCTCGGAGACCTCACAGCGTCTTGTGAGAGGCAATTAAATATTGGACTTGGACGAAATAGGGGAAGTCAAAGATGAGAATTGACATTGATTCTCACATCAATTCAGGCATCAATTCTGATCTGAATCACCGAAGACTATCGTGCAAGAATTGATCCCAACTTTGACCAACCCCGATTCTACTCCGAAATTTGCATTGATTCTCCCTAGCTTTGTCGCCATTTCTTTTGGCCTTGCTGTCATCACTGCTGTCGTCACTTTCCTTGGTGTCTTTTGCTTTTCTCGAGGGTTTTCGGATGTGGGTGGGAGGTTTGGAAGCGACGGGGGCGGGCTTGGCGGCCCGAGTAGAGGAAGACTTGGGCTTGGAGTACTTGGAGGTAGGCCTTGCAGCGGCGGGGGCATGGCTTTAAATAGATGTGGTGTAGGAGTCAAAATTTTCGTTGCAATTTTGAATTTTATATTTTCCATTTACCAAAATATTAAAGAACAAAATTCAGGTATCATAAGGTGCATAAGTCACAGATAAGTAAGTGAGGTGACGATTCCAGGACCGATTCTGGAATCGATTCTGGTCGGGTTTCGACTCCAGAGTCGAAACATTGATTCTGTGTCGATTCTGGAAAACATTGATTCTGGTGTTGATTCTTGATCAAAAATTGATACCTGAATCAATGTCGATTCTCATCTTTGACTTCCCCTAATGTCGAAAAAGAAATTGATGTGATAACAAAAGAACTGAAAAACAAAGAACATAGCAGCAACTCGTTTCGATCGAGTGACCTCGGGGTTTCACCGTTGTTACGATAAGTATGGGCCCCGCGCGCTTCCAGCTGCGCCATGCTGCTGTGTTTGTACCACCGTCTCATATGACTAGGTAGTGATTTGAGTTAGACTGAGCGTAACCTTCCGATTACTCTCGGAAAAGATGAAAATAACTAAATTATGATTAAATTAGTCTGCATGTAGCTCATATGGTTTACCTTCAAGCTGAGCTTGCGCAAACCACACGTACACTGAAGTTGAAGAGAAACGCACAAGGCAGTCGTCCATCAAATTTCGGACCTTTCGGCTTTTCGATCATGATGGATGTTTTGTGTTGGCGCTCCCAGCACGCCTCACATCGTTCGACAGATCTCGGGCTCTTCTCACTGGACTAGGTCATTTTCCTGACTTGCCACTGGGGCCTCATATTGTGTGTTATATACCGATTCAAGTCCGGGCCTAACTTTTTTTTTGGCAGCGAAGCGCGCCATGTCTGGCGTCAATCGGGAACATGCTGTGGTGCTGCCCACCGAAATATTAGCAGACATATTCGTAAAGTGTCTTCCCACCCCATCCGAGTCTGAGTACCGCTGGATCTCTGTTGTCGATGGACTCCACACACTTTCCCCTTCCCAAGCACCTCTTCTTGTCTCCAGCGTATGTCGGCGCTGGCGCGAAGTGGCACTATCCACTCCCCGTTTATGGCTATCCCTCGACCTCCACCGCAGAAAGCAAAGGAAAGACACGGACAGAACCGGAGTACTATCCTCCGTGTTGGCACGTTCGCTCCCCCATCCGCTATCCTTCGACATGCAACGTTCCTACCACGCCGGAGATGTGAAAGAAATCATTCGCCATTGCGAACGATGGGGCGCGGTCGAGCTTCTCCTCCCTGAGAGCGATCCCCATGTGTTCGACGAAGTGCGCGGACGACTTCCTCGCCTGGAAAAACTCTGCTTGAATCTGGAGTTCCAGACCCCACATGTCGTCAAGTCCTTTGCGGAAGCACCACAATTGAAAAACCTTTCTCTTCTCTCCGGGAACTTGGAATTGGGTTCAGTTGTCCTTCCGTGGCACCAACTCACCCATCTCACTTGCGAGGATTTTACCGACGTCGAATGTGTCGACATGCTTCGACAATGTCCTGCACTTGTCGAATGCCACTTGATAGGATACGATAACGACCGCTCCACGGATTCAATCATCTCCTTCCCGCCAATCGTGCATCACCACCTTACCTGTGTCAAAATTCACGGAACCTCCCACATGGACCTCGTCCGGCTTCTGAAATTGCCGTGCCTGCGCGTTCTCAAATTTAGCTTTCAACATTTCGCCTCTGACAGCGATGACGGGATTCTGGTCTCATTCCTGACCCGGTCGCGCTGCCGGTTGAAACGCATCTGGCTATGGAATGCGACTGACCTAAGCCTACTCCGATGTGTACCGTTTCTGACATCCCTCGTTACTCTCGAAATTCGCTCTCACACTGTCTTCCTGACCGACAATCTCCTTCGTTCGCTCAGTGACCGTGCGGTGCTCCCGAAACTGCAAAAACTGGACATCGATGTCCTTTTGCAGTATTGGGGAGCCCATGATTGGACAGAGAATCTCATGCGGGAGATGATTCTCTCGAGGTGCCTCCGCTCTGGCAACTCCACAGACGTTCGCCTACAAATCTTTCGACTTGTGTACAAGCCACACGAGGACGAGGACGACACTGGGCTGATGGCATTGGCCGCAGAACTCGAGCCCCTCCTCGCTCACTCAATGGTGGAGTTCAGAATTAGCGCCGACTCGACAACGTGGATGTAGGACGCAATAGATACATTCACTGTTTTTGGTGTTCCTCCACGGCAAGTCACCCTATCTCCTGAAACGACCGCTCATCATATATATTGACCGTCTCCAGAAGCATGTTGCGATCCCTCTGCAACGCGTCACGCGTCATAGCTGCCACCCTACGGTCGGTACGACGCTCAAGTGCCTCGCAGAGTTTCTTGTAGTTGTACCTCGAAACAAATGCGACACGGACGCGCGAGGCCACGGTCGCGCGGCGAAACGTCTCCGGTTCTCGCCGCCGGTAGCATCGGCGGGATTTGAGGGCCGCCGCCACCACCACCACACACGCGTCGTCGAGACGGTCGAGGAGAAGCATCCCGCCGCTGTTGCTGCTTGCACCGAAATTGTATGCCTCGCTTAGCCTGTCCCGTCCTCACTGCTTGCGGAATCTTGTCGCGTGGGCGATATTTCGAGGGCATGACGTGCCGCGAATAGCGGGCGTCGAACGTTGGCAGCCGGTGCAGTGCGGAGTGAAAGACAAAGAGCTGATGCGAGTGGCAGTGCTGGCGCTTATTGGGACCCACAAACAAATTTCGCCCAAGCCCAGACTTGCTATATGCGGAGAGGAAGCGACTCGCACTGAGGGGAGGCTGGGATATTTCTGGGGCTCTTCACAGTCGTGAGTCATTGACTGCATCCGTACCTGTCCGTGCTCACGTAGATTAGGGATCATGTACATCTTGCATGTGCTGCTACTTCGGAAATCTTGCAATACAGTACGCCACCGCAAACAGTTACCATGCCATGACATTCGCCCTTGTTCTTTGCATCGGTCTTCGTTTTTTTTCCCCTTTTTCTCGAGTTCTCGCACGGATACACCGTTGCGCCGATCCCCCTTCTTCTCGAGTTCCCGCACGGATACACGGATACACCGTCGTGCCGATCCTTCGATCTCTGGGTCTATACCTGAGAAGTTCATATTCATACGCTCTTAAGGCGGGAAGGGTGGGGACGGTGGTGGAGGTGGTTTAGATTGTGCATCTGGTGAAGATATCGCGGCGCTAATACAGGCGCAACCAGCCCAATCCGGTAAAGGAAGCCCAGCACCAGAAACCATTCTTGAAGGTACTTACGTTCTCTTCTTTATTTGGGATTTATAATCTTTGAAACTTTCGCAGGTGGTCAAGGAGGACGTGGTGGGCCTGCTACTCGGTTAGGTGGAGAGGGAGGCCGCGGTGAGGGACCGCAAATGCCCGTAGTATTTGTAGGCCTGTTCAAGCAAATTTCCGGCAAGTCCACGAAGAATATTATTGTTGATGCTGGTTGAATGATTTTTATTTACAGGCGGCCAAGGCGGCCCAGGCGGCGGATCAGACATCCAAGGCGGACGGGGCGGAGATGGCGAAGGCCCAAACTTCGCCAGTCTTCTCCATACCATCGACGACGAGATTCGAGATCGAGTGCCATACACCAGGCTCGAGGATGTTAGCAGCATCAGGCCGTCTCTCCATATCGGCTCAGACCTCTGTCTGCTCCTCCAGGCTCAAGGATTCCAGACTGTGAGGGGACTTTTTGAGACATATGAGATAGACTTGGTGGCGCACTTCGACGCGGGAGATGTGAGTTCCCTGAAGACAACCTTGAAGAAGTTTGCCCAACTGGTCAAGACTCGTAAAATCTAATTCTGTATTCTGTTTTTTTTTGTAATTCAACCGATTCGTTATCTTTCCCTCGTCGTCTACACCTCGAGATTGTAATTCCCATATTTCGTTCTTACGTTCACGTTAACCCCGTCTTCATCACGTATTCGTTTCTGTGGCGTACAAGGCCTAGGGAACTGCCAGTCACGGTCCGCACTAGCTAGCTACAACCGGATACAGGACCATACCATCACGCCGTCGTCGGGGCCTTCCGAGACAAGCAGCGACGGATGATACTCCCCCTGCTTCTGCAACACAGCTTCTACACGAACAGTGCCTTTGGGGAAAATACCCTCCCATAATTGGATCCATGACTCGGGAGAGTGGCAGAACATTTGTTGGCCTCTGGGGATTACGTCGTGTCTCCAACCCTTTTTTTCTCTTCCGACATGGAAGCCGAGAATCATTGAACCGGGAAGCGGGCATAGCAGGCCCGCCACCAAGTATGCAAGCTCCGTCTGCTTTTGTTCGTCGAAAAGGTGGAAAAAGTAGGAAGCGTGTAAAATGGATATCTGCCCGTTGAGAGTGGTCAGAGATGCGAGGTTTGACAGCGCCGGAGATGGAGTGCTTGACGCTGAGGCCGAGGTCGAGACCGGCGCCAGGGTAAGGAAACTAGGGTCGAACACGTCCCCTGCCAGGAATGAGACAGGAAAGGTGCCCGGTGTGGATTGGAACAATTCGTGCCCCAGGTCCCAGAACTCTGCAGCGAACTCAAATTACGAGGCTGCTAACTTCTTGTGCCCTAAACACGAACCTCGACGCAGGTCGCTTGCAAGTAAATTTTGCAGAGGATATCCATCGGCTGCTACTTTTCTTACATCCGTGCCGACTAAGTTGCTCGTATAAGTGTCCAGTAATTTCAGCCCCAATTTATGCGTACAGCAAGAGCCAAGATCAAGCATGATAGCGTCAGGTCTCTCACGGACCAGCGACATAACAGCGGGGTAGGCAGGCAGACGGTGTATCCTTATCCTGAAATTGATGATGAATACCGAATAAAAAATGGTCAGACATCTGAGGCACGTACCTCGCGAACGAGAACGATATGATGCAAAAATATGGGAAGTACTGGCGAGACCTCATTCAGATACGATCCTGGGGTTCTATAAAGGCCCGACCTCGTATGCTTTGGCTTGGACAGCCATGACGTGCTTCTTCAACGCGTCTGGATCATATATTCCCGTCTGTGATTTCAGGAACTCCAGCTCTGGCCCGTCATCGATCTAGGTCAACTGAAAGTAAACCACTGGACCAGGACGGCGTAAAGAAATTGACGAACTTGAAGGGCATCCCACAAGTTCTCATCGAGAGGGAGCTTGATGCCCTCCATGTTGGCTCATCGATTTGTGACGGGCTTATATGGCCAGATAACCTGACTGTTTTTAACTTCCAATCCAATTGCTCGGCGTATGGCACCTGACCAAGCTTCTCCAAGAGTGGGAAACGCTTTTAAGGACAGTAAAACAAGACAACACTGATATTAGGCAATAAAAACTAAACACCATTCATCAAGATCGCCGTTTTCGTCCTCCCGCCCCAGTAGCAGTCCTAGTTCTCCCGGGCGCCTTTTCTTTCTCCTTCTCGGGTCGACTCTCCGTGTCACT